CCATCCCATCCCATCCCATCCCATCCCATCCCATCCCATCCCATCCCATCCCATCCCATCCCATCCCTGTCCCGAGTGTCCCTCACCTGTCCCCGCTGCTCGCACACCTCCACCACCACAGCCGGGGGGTCCTGCTGTGTCCCGCGGGGGTCCCCGAACAGCAGCACCCCCGGGAACAGCAGGGTCTGCTCCCAGCGCGGCTCCGGAGCCCCCCGCACCGCCCGCGTGCGCTGGCTCAGGGACACGAACGACACCTGCGCGGTGACACCTGGCGACAGCGACACCGTCAGTGCCCCGGGCTGCCGGGGAAGGGGGGCGCGGGGCCCGGGGGTCGCACCTAGGGGGGTCCTGGAGCTGCCGGGCGCCAGATCCAGCGCCTGGAAGATGTAACAGCGGAGCTGGAAGCGGCCGGGCCCTGGGGACAGGCGGGGGCTCAGGAGGGGCTGGGAGCTCCCGGTCCTTCCCGACCCCTCCCGGTCCCTCCCCGGTCCTTCCCTGACCCCTCCCGTTCCTTCCCTGACCCCTCCCGGTCCCTCCCCGTCCCCTCCCCGGTCCCTCCCTGACCCTTCCCGATCCTTCCCGATCCCTCCCGGTCCCTCCCGATCCCTCCCTGACCCTTCCCGGTCCCTCCCCGTCCCCTTCCCGGTCCCTCCCTGACCCTTCCCGGTCCCTCCCGATCCCTTCCCGACCCCTCCCCATCCAACCTCGGTCCCTCCCGTTCCTTCCCTGACCCCTCCCGGTCCCTCCCCGTCCCCTCCCCGGTCCCTCCCGGTCCCTCCCGGTCCCTCCCGATCCCTCCCTGACCCTTCCCGGTCCCTCCCGGTCCCTCCCGGTCCCCGTGGCTCACGTTGGAAGCTGCAGAGGATGAAGAGGGGCGGCTGCTGCGGGGGTGTCAGGGAGGAGCCCCCCGGCAGCTGCCCGGGATCGTCCTGGGCCGGCTCCTGGATGTCCCGGGAGGGGACAGGGCTGGCCCGGGGTGACACCGCTGTCCCCCGCTCCTGCGGGACCCCGCGGAGGAGGA